GAGTAATTTTTACCATAACATTTTTTGAAGAATATCCCATCCCTTTCATACCCCCCCCCGTAATTTTATATATAAAAACATTACCTAGGGGGTTAAATAAGCGAAGGGTTTGTCTAAGTGAAATTTCAGTATTTGGCCATTCACAGGAAAAAACGCACAACAAATTTTAGAAACCTGCTTTCTTTTTATTCTTCTTCATATTTAAGACACCTGTTTCCTCCTTTTCCTCTGGGTGTCCTGGCAAGTATTATTAGAGGGAAAATAAGCCACCCAGAAGATGATCTGCACAAGGCCACAAAGAATTAATGGTAGAGTTGAAGGTAAAAACCCCCTCAAAAACCTTTTTCTCTAGGATTGTTTTATTTTTTGATGAAGAAGAGGAGGAGCTTCCTTTAGTTTCCCATTCCCACTTGCCACACCATGCTTTAAATATAACTGAAGTATTGCAAACTAGAGATTTCCATCTTCATATTTTATTTATTTGGTTCCCTGGCCCCTCTCTTGGAAAGTTTCCTCTCCATCTCCATCCCTTTGAGCCTGCTAGCTTCCCTTCAGAATTCATCCCTATGGGCTGCAGGTTGGCAATCATACATTATTAGAAAGGTTATCCCTCTTCTTGAATTCCCACCCTTTCTTTATTAATGTTAAACACCACAGAGACTAATAGATCTTATAAGGTAAATTAAATCTCTCTCTGTCTTTCTCTCTCTCTCTTTGTTTAAAATGGGATGATATGATATCGACTGTACACCTATTAATGATAGGAGGACTCAATATAAACACGTAATTAATAACTAAATAAATAAGTATAAGGACTAGGCCCCAGTGCCGCAGTAATTTATTAAATATAATACGGAAGATTGGCCTGTGTTGTCTGACGTCAGATCAAAGTATTAAAAGGGCGTCATTGAAAAAGGTTAAGGCCTATTAAAATGTTATAATTTTGCAGTCTTTAATGTTATTAGTATTTTCCATTTGATGTTGCCGGATAATAACTAACATCTACAGCGCACTGTACACATCTTGCCTTTGGTCAGCATCTGTAGAAAGTATACTTCATTTTGGGGGAATGGGGGAATAGCCATTTTCTAACTATAGTACTATAACAAGCATTACCACAATGGAACAGGTGCAGCCCAGAAGCATCCCTTTTTCTAGACAGCCAGACATGCAAGCAGACATTATAAACAGTGCCTTATTTTGTCCTGCTTCTAAATCATGTGATGGTGTCAGTCAAGAAGAATTGGGATAGGTTTCAAAGGCAAACTAATCAATACTACAATCTAAAAGGCAGGATTTTACTTTTTCTTTTTAAAATACACTTTTCAAACCTGGCTTCAACTTCTTTTTCCCCAAACTCACATCCAGCTCCTCTTGGTCAGTAAATAATTTTGATGGATGTTCTCCCTAATGTGCAAGCCAATGAGACAGTAGAGAGGTCTGACAGATACCCTGCCAACCAGCTGAGCAGCATAAACTTGGGTACTCTTCTAACTTAACTCATGAACTATAGGTAGCAACAGCTGGACATTTTAAGAGTCTATTTTATTTCCACAGAAATAAGAACATTCATCAGTGTGTGAGCTCAGAGTTGCAGGACATCAGAGGCATCCTGACTTGAGTCATTTCCATGGCCTTTGCCCTACGATGATGGAGCCAACTCCCATCTCCATCTGGTAGGGTCTCAGTGCACTTAACTACATCTGACTCTGCTTGCTTTTAATGCTATTTAGCATTATTCAAAAGGTTTTGGTTTGTAGGTTCTAGAGTCCTTATCTCATTTGTATATGATGCAGCTGTTTAGGCAATGCCAGATATTGGGCATTTTACACATTTCCTCACCTCATTTCCCCACATTTATCAGCTGTGCATGCAAGTACTATCATGAGACTCTAAAGGGTCCAAAGCCTATATTTCAACTTAGTGTGATGAATGAATGAAATTAGTAGTGATCCGAACTCTCCACAGGCAAGGAGAATGTGCTAGTGGAGAAGCTGTTGCCATGGACAGCGAGATGGTAAGGGAATCTATGTAAAAGTTGCCTTGGCAAGTATTATTAGGGGGGAAATAAAACACACGGAAGCTATATAGCACAAGGCTACAAAGAGTTAATGGTTACCATTAACTGAAGGGGAAAAAAGCAGATGTTCCAACTTGCTGTGCTACAACCACTAGGCTATATTTCTTTTACATCCTGTAGGTAGACATACAATAAGAGCTTAAAGAGCGGGTACTGGGTTGGGAGCAGCCAGCAGAGCATTTAATGCTCAATAATTCTAGTATCTTTTGCCTAGCGCCATTGGGACATAGCTCTCAATATTCAATATGAAAAAGGAGAGATGGAAAAACAACGAGGCAAGGAAAAAAGATCTTGGCTGACCACAGTTTGTATAGTAATTCATAATGGGTATCTTGAATAATTGATATTAAAGTAATGTTCTTTGTTTATTGTTTTAAAAATACTTGTGGTGAGCCATCATCCACCTACTATAAATTACAAGCAACTGATAAGTCTCCATTTGCAACTCTGCGGCTAACGCCCCTTGTCCATAACCAACAGCCTTTTTCCAGCATTGGACCATGCTGAAACATTTCCAAAGCAGACTTTTAGCAGATTTCTTAGAGATTTAGCCCCTCAAAAAGACTCCCCAAAGAGCAAAGGCAGTCCAAGACAGTGAATTCAATTCTTCATCTATTAGGCTGTAATTCCTTTCTGGATGCAATTTTAATATTAGAAAAAGATTAATCTGTATACTTGAAGCCTGTTCTGTTTAATCTTAATGAGTTTTGATTTTATACACTGTGGAATCTAATCCAGCATCACTTTCAAAATTGAAAGGAATAAGGTCACTGCATTTAGAATATAAAATGGGGTCTTATCCAATGTGTGACTGGATGTTTCCAACTAGTATATTGTGTTTAAGAGAGGAAAATGAGCCATTAAAAATGAAGTATTTTTATAGAAAATCTTGACAAACATGCTGCCTCTAGTGACCTCTATATAAAAGGTGAAAAGGTTACATTAATAATTTGGAAATTATTTGGTGGAAAGGAGACCAGAGGACCTGTCTACTAATGTTAGTTCCCAGATTCCTCTAGCATGTCTTGGAGGAATTCCTTTAGGATTACTTGTGGGGAGAGGAGACCTTATTTAGTTAGAGTCAAGTATTTCTCTCTCTTTACAACAGCTTCCCAAGAATAGAAAATGTGCACAGTTCTTTTGTTGACCCCCTACCCTTAGTAGAGATGCTTGCCAAAGTTGGCTCTCAAGTCACATTGGGTAGACACAAGGCTATTAGTTTTCTAAGCATAGACAAGAGTGAATTATGATCTCGGATATAAATCCATCTTATGTATTCCTTCCCAATTTTGAGTATTCTGTGGCTGCATCTCTATCTTTAACTATTCAACGAAGCAAACAGATTAACTTGAGGGATCAAATGGTTTATCCCAACCAGACAGTTGGTCCAATAAGGAGTAACACTTGCAACAATTCTTGCGACATGCATATCTTCTGGACCATCACAGCAACACCAGCTCAATTAGCAGTGCAACCTTGGGCAAATCATGTGACTTCCCTGTACCACATTTTCCTTTTATTTAGTATACAGAGGAGTCATACATCTTTTAGAAGGATGTGAGATTTAATACGTTTACAAAGCTCTTTGGGATCATTGGATAAATAATGTTTACATGAATAAGCATAAAGAATATTACTTTTAAAAGTGAAGGCTGGACGTACAAAATTTCAAAAGTGGACTTTGGCAATAGGTCACAACAATATTTTTAATAGAATATTTTCCACCTTTTATATGTATGTTGAAGTAAATTACTCCCACTCCAGGTTGTCAGCTTATTTTCTTTTCTGAAAAGCACATGCTTAGTTTTGCGAGAACAATTTAGTGAACTGGTCTAACAGAAGTCTATTCCTGCCTTTTATAGGTGTTCTATTGCAGAGATAGGAATTTTGTACTTCTTCCTTGAAAACTGTGCCGCATTTCATTCAAAGTAACAGTATAGTATGCTGGCAGGAAATTGAAACATTGCTTATGTGACATCAAGTTTGTAAAAGATCAAGAATCCACAAGAAATAAGTAGTTTACCTTTCTGATGTGTTGTTCACATTTCTACAGATAATTCACATCCAGACAAATAAGGCTTATGGTTTCTATGAATAAGCTATAAAAAAGATAATTGCCATAGAGAAAGTTATTATTGACTGTTCTGGCAATTATTAATATACACCAAATTCAAAAGATTGTAAACCTTCTCCATTTTTTTTAGCCCACAACTATCCTTCATGTTTTGTGCATCATAGTTGCATTCTAGTGTCCCACTGCAGCCAGATGTATTGTGATTCTATTTTCATGTATGTTTAATCAAGCTTTTTAATTGTATCGAATGCCACACAAATCCCTTACCATTTCATTTCCTTCTGCTGAGGAAACAGAATGTTTTAATACTGGTTTTAACTTTTGAATACCAGTCTGCGCCAATAGCTAATCCACTTCCAATGTATCATTTATATGGCTTTTAGAAGTCCAGTTTCAATTTGTGTCATTGCATAAGAACATAACAGAATAATTTCGACCCAGACTATAATTAATTGGCATAAGTAACTTGCATCTGTCACGGTAATATGGGTTTTTAAAAATTAGTTCTAATAGAGCTGGTTAAGTGAAAACAATGGCATCTGCATCTGCTCCATAACTCTGAATACCAGAGCTTGCAAATTCCAAATGGGAACTCCAGAAAATGAGCAATTTAGAAAATGGGGTTTCAGTCTCTCTGTGGCTCAAGTTTCCTCACTTAAACTATAGAACAACACCCACTTCTGGAAAGCTTTGGTTGTTTTATGCAAGAAAAGTGATATATAAAGTAGTCTGTCATTACATACACATTTGAGTTTATCAAACAATGCAGTACTGAGGAGAGGGGTATATATTAAACCAAACTTCCACAAGGATCTCAATCTTCTATTTTCCACCCAAAGGCCCTACCTGATGACTGGAACTTCTCTTTTTCCTGTCTTCAAGTTCCCCAATAGCCTCACAGGGTTTTCCACCTCTTACTCTATAAAATAAAAATAAATAAGAATATGTTAGTACTGACTCTACCTCTAGAACAGAGAGGCACAATATCTATGAATCAGCATGGGGGAGTTAAAGGGTGTTATTTTAAGGGGCTGGTCCTAAGAATTCCCCTCAGATCAACCAGAAACTGGTTTAAGAAATAATGCGGCTTAATGGCTTTTGTTTTTTCTGATAGCTGTGGACATCATTCTTTTGAGGAGGACCCTGTATGCTCCAGAGCACAATAGGACCAAATTCTGCAGCAACAATTCCTGAATTCAGTGGCAAGAATCCCTAAATTGTTATGCAATGTTAATTTATCCATCTCCATTAAACTTTTCATTTGGAGTCTCTTATCCCCAAGTGCATGCACGTGCCTCCTGCTATGGCTCATAGCTGAAAATACACGCTGATGTAAAATTCTTTGGTGATCATATTCAGCAATGATTATTACTTTACACACTGGACATTTTCTGCTACGTTTTCTAGGCACTGTGGCAGTCACAATATTATCCAGGAAAAAGATGAATTCTGCAGCCACAGATTATGGAATATTTGGTGCCCTGCTCTTACTAGTTTGGTTTCTTCCTTTCATAGAATCACAGAATCATAGAAGTTGGGTCGGAAGGGACCTTGTAGATCTTCAAGTCCGACCCCCTGCCAGGGCAGGAGAAAAACTGGGCTCAAATGAGTCCAGCCAAGTAGGCATCAAGCCTCCTCTTAAAGACCCCCAGGGTAGGAGCCAGCACCACTTCCCTTGGAAGTTGGTTCCAGCTCTAGCCGCCCTAACTGTGAAGTAGTTCTTACGGGTTTCAAGTCTTTCAAAAGACTGCTATATGCCAAATGTCACATTTCATAGAAGAATTGCACAGTGTAGTGTCTTTAAATGCACCACTCTGGGTGTGTCTACATGAGACATTTTACTGCGCAGTCGATTAACCTACTGCATAGTAAAGCATCACCATCTACATGTGTGCTTTACTGTGCAGTAAATTAGACTACTGTGCAGTTAGCCACTACCTGTAAATACAGTTAGTAAACTAACTGAGAAGTAGATACTGCACAGTAGCACATGTGTGGGAGCAAATTTGGGAAGCCCCACTGAGCACAGGGCTTGTCCCTATGTGCAGGGGGCCAGGAGAGCTCTACAGCAGCAGCTGTCTCCCAGTCCCCTGCACATCAGGACCCTTCCCAATGTGCATGGGGCTAAGGAGACAGCTGCAGCTGGCAGAGCTCTCCTGGTCCCATGTGCATGGGGACCAGATGTGTGCTCCTTGCTAGCCCCTGGCTAGCACCCTAGGGGAGCCTGGCTGCTGCAGGGGGCCAGAACAGGGTAGGAGCAGCCCTGTACCAGGCTGCTCCTGTTGGGAGCAGATTTGCTCCCAACAGGGATCTTGTGTAGACATGCTCTGAGGGAAGGCTTACTGTGCAGTAAGCCTTTATAGCATTAATAGCACATGTAGACAGACCATCTGTGTACTGTTTTTAAATGCTTTCAAATGCATAGCGGGAGACATGTCATGTCAGGCACTCTGAGCTCTTTCTTGCTATTGTCTACATACAAATATCCTATGAGCCTTCCTTTACAACTCTGGCAATACATTTCCATCTTCAGTTGCAACCTTCTAGATTTCTGTGCATAGCTTAGGCTAAGCAGAGACTGACAATCCTGTCAAACTGAATGGTAGTGTTTTTATATGGTAATAAATATTTAACCATGCCTGGTTTGAAATGACAATGCTCATTTCACTTGTGAGTGATACAGGATTTGAACTAGAGTCATTTGGAAGTAAAAGATTAATGTTACCATTCATCAGACAGCGTAGCCTTTCTGCTCCTGTTTCCTCCCCTCTCAGTTTCTTGCCAACCTACAGAAGCTTCCCATCTCAACATAAAAACAGAGGATGTTCTGGTAATTTGCCTTGAACATGAATGTACATGTTCATTCATTTGAGCTTATTAGCTCCTGAAACACAAAGTTCATTATAACCTTGCTCAAGAAAGCAGAGACCTTAAAAAAGGTAAACTAAAAAACACTTGCCAATACTACATATGAAACTTTTTTTTACCTTACTAATTGGGCAAGATTCAGAATGATATGCAACTTATTCACCTGCGGTATTAACACACCTCTCTGAGCTTGCTGCAAGCATGCACTGGGTTGATATTTTGTAAAAATCCATTGCTTTCTTTTCTGGAAGTTAGGATACCTGGCTCAGGCACTGATTTCTTTTCCTAATATAAACAACTTGCAGGGCTGTAACTTGAATAATTATTCCAGTCAAAAATGGATAATAGTTTCATAGTAGGTAGGGTTGGAAGGCATCTGAGCAGATCATCAAGTCCGACCCTCTGCCATGACATGAAAGAGTACTGGGGTCAAACGATCCCGGCTAGGTGATTATCTAGCCTCCTTTTGAACACCCCCAGGGTAGAAGCGAGCACCACTTCCCTTGGAAGTTGGTTCCAGATTCTAGCTGCCCTGACTGTGAAGTAGTACCTCCTGATGTCTAGCCGGAACCTACTCTCCATCAACTTACGGCCATTATTCCTTGTTACTCCCGGTAGTGCTCGGAGGAACAGGGACTCTCCCATTGCCTGTTGGTCCCCCTTGGTCAGTTTATAGACGGCCACCAGATCCCCTCTCAACCTCCTCTTGTGGAGGCTGAACAGGTTCAGGTCCTGTAGCCTCTC